CTATTAAAAAGCTCTTTTATATTATAAGACACAGATACCAAATCCTACTCAATAATAAGTAAAGTCTCCACTTCCCTCCCTAGTCTCAGAACACTTCTTAAGTTTTTATTTGACCACTGAAGCATTCGCGAGATAGCACTGCGGTGAAAATTAAAAAAAAGTTTAACAGGAAAAAACCAGTGGAATCCATTCGAGATAAAACTTTTCCTTACTTTTATCGTTGCGATTTCTTGCGAAAATGTTTTCTTTTCGTACTTTTATCGAGTTAAAATGGAAGTGGCGCAATTTTCGGTTGTTTGACATATTAAGATTTTTAAATCATTTGTAAGATGGATGCAACGCAACGGATTAGGAAAGGACTAGATACCTTCAATTAGACCTGCTATACTAGGTATTATTAAAAAGAATCATAGACAAATTTTCTAGCTTACATTAGCTTGGTAAAAAACAGACAAAATATGTAAAACTTTCTCTTGCTCTTCCTGCCACAATAGAACTTTTTAATGTCTCCAAGGACAGGAAATGTTTTATAATTAACAGCGTTATTTAATTTTTTAATTTACAGGGTATTTAATAAGATTTTCAGCTACAATTTAAATCTGTATGCATGCAACTGACCACTATACGCACACTAACAATTTACATCAGCCAATATCGAAACGCATAAAATTAATTCCATATTAATGCGCTTCGAAATTTAAATTATTGGACGCCGCCCGCACCCCACGTGGGAGGGGACACGCATCCCTAACTATCCCCCACCCCGGGGGGAAAAAAATATAATAGTATTCCACCTGCGTCGGGCGGGCATAGAGTATTGACGCACGCCGCCATTTTGTTGTATTCGAATTTCGAACGCCATTAACGAATTTTTATTGAATGCAGCTTGCGAATTTTATTGCATGGAAAATGTTTCTCTATATGAGATTTATGTAGACAGTATAAACATATGTAGAGTTTTTCATAGAATTTTATAAACGCAATTTAAGATGTTTACTGTCTGCTATTCAGTTCGTTTTTAGATTAATATAACATATTACTTCTGCACAGCATACCTTTGCAGGAAAAGCAGTACTAAAGTTATAGTCCTAAACTATTTTTCTACATGCTTCATAAGCTATCAATCAACTCAAGACCCAATCATACGCCTTATTAAATGAGAAAACATACAAGAAAACTTATTCGTTATACACGTCAAAATGGCGCGTAAGACGCGTTCCAAATTCAAAAATAAATTCGTAACGAGCGCACTGTCGGCGCGTCGTGTTTTAAAATCGATTTAATCTGACCAACTCTTTTAATTAATTTTTCATTTATGCTCATCGACCAGCATAGTTACAACAATCGCTTACATGCCTTCTATTGTTTATAGCCAATATACTTAATATAAACTCTAAATAGAAAAGTGTCCTTGTTTTTTTAAAAATTCCATAGACAACTAACCCTTTGCACAAGAGTAATGTTGGATGAAGAATTTGAATCCTACGCAGGCCGGGTTGCATTAGGAAAGTACTTTTGTATGTAAATCGAATGCGTAGGCTTTAGCCGTCGAGACTTAGATACTATTGTTTCCTGTATTTTTAATGATAGAATTTTTCATAAAATTCTTTTACAAAGAGGGATATTTTTTAATAATATAAATAAATAGTACAACATTTTAATCTACTACCGACAGCTGCAGTTTAACATTATGACAAGTTGTTTCTAAATAGGTATGCTCTGTCAGTATTAAGTTATACTAAATTACGATAAACATAATGCTCTAATAAAATATATTAGCAAATTAAAATCGATAAAATGTACAATCTAACCGAATAGCATCCTTTGGCAACATCTGACAAACTGTGCTAAGGCAAACGCCTTTCCCTTTACATTTATTCATAGAGAAATAACAAAAATAACCATAGACAACCGACCATTCTACGGTGAGCCACGGCGCTCTCAAACCGGCGCGCGCTTAAAGGGTTAAAAGGATTATTAGAAATTGCGAGGGGTCTTATTAGAGTGGTGACTTTTACGCGTAGGTTGTATGGCTTGAAAAATGGTTGGTCGGCTACAATAGTATAGAGAACGGTGAACCCGGAAGAAATATTTGCCCATAGACAAGATTTAATCTGTGCGCGGGAAGTTTTAGATGAGGTTCGATTTTTGAAATTGTACCTTAATGAGGAACTTTCTCATTGAATGTGAGAAAATGCGTTCTTATATGAATTTTTCAAAACATATATACACACTATATGATACTATAACATGTATTAATGCTGTAATGTATTTAAAACATTTTTTTATTTACTGTCTGTAGGTAATATTGTGATTAGACTAAAAAATAATTAATATGTCATCTCATCTATTAAGCTTAAACTTCTGGTATTTTTTTTAATTGACTACTATCACATAATATAGTTAATACATTACTACAATAAAGGTAACATAATAAATATATACTTAACATAAAATTAATTAAAAAAAATATATAAGCCAAAATTTAATAAGCATTCAATATATTGTATATTTATGTTGAAATATACGAGTTTTTTGAAAGTGGGTTACCTATTATTCATACTTTCTAGTTTCTGCTTGGTCTCTTAGAACCTCTTTAGCTGCGCCGTTAGATTTATGAAGTGTTTTGACTTTACTCAAGGAGTTTCTATGTAAATACTGTATTTAAATTGCTTTTTTATAAGTGATATTTACCTGACATTTAGAACACGAACACGGCCACTCAAGGATAACTCATTGTCATAATTTCAGTTGCATTAGAATGTGTACAGACTATAATGAATGAGTAGAACTTATTTAAATATAATTGGGCCATAACCTTAACGTCTCTTCTAAATCTAAACTAGTTTAAAAGAGTTAAATAAGAGAAAAATTGAAACATTTAAATTTCGAATGCATTCGAACCGAGAGATACGACGTTCCATTTATCGCCAATAAATATAGCAATCGACCGTTAGCGCGATAAACTATATAATTCTACCACCAATATATCTTATTGCATCTATAGTAGGAAATAATTCTACAATATCTTTCTTTATGGGTCCATGTGTGCACGCATTCTTCACAAACATGCAAAAACACTAACACATTCAAACGACAGCCGTGTAGGGATACGCTACGTATGGCTGTGTTGCGCGTGTCAACTTGCATGTGTGCGTGCGTTCGTTGACCTATGCATTTGCTTGCAGTACAGGCTAAAAGTATGCGTTGGTTTTATTATGGTTTTATTTTAAAAATGGAACTGCGGTCATCTTGGGTTAGGTCGTGGTTAATTTTTCGGGTTATTTGGTGAACGAAGGTTACCATTCAATGACACAGATTGCAAAAAACGATCCTACTGTAATACTTTAAACCGAATGAACTGTTACATCAATGATGAATCGTCAAAAAGTTTCATTGTCATTTTGCCCAGAAAAAGAAATTTTAAAATTGGAACAGGGTCAGTTTGAACGTCACGTGTTCATGACCGTTGACCTATACGGAAGCGTTCTAAATTTAAATTTTAAACTTCATATAGGAAGTATTTGTCGTTAATTTAAAAATAAAGTTGGGTTAGGTCGCAAAATTGACCGTGAACGAGCGTAAATTTATTTGAGCTGCGCTGGGTCAATGGTTGATGACGTGCCTGCGTACTTGGTAGGTGCGATATACATATTACCACCATCTTATTATCTATGTATTATCTTGAACTAGTGTCATTAAATTAGATAGTTTTATAGAAAAAGTAAGTTTGACTATAAGTTAAAAATAATGGTACAATTATAACATTTGGTAACTATAGTTTCCTGTTACGAGTTATAAAACAGATAACAATTTTTATATGATTTAGTTTATATAATTTTCGTGTATGTTTGCAAATTATTATTAAAATAATTCTTATAATATAATATAGATAATTGCAATTAACCTTGTAAAACATTGAATTTTTGCCTAATTCTGTATTCGTGGCGACATCTGTTGGCAAGTTATATTTCTCATTTTTCTAGAAAGTATGTTATCAATGGCATACAAAAAATATTTTTATATCCCTTAATATTTTCAATTATTTTGGCTATTACTGTACAAATTATTTTCTAAAACATACTTAGAAAAGAGAGTAGGTACTGCGTCATCACTCAGGACCAAACTCTATAAGGCCATATTCAGATGACATGAAACAGATTAGCTACTACATATCTATTACTAAATTGATATTCATTTTTTTTTTTTTATCGAAATTTAAATTGCCAAAAATCTAAATTTACATACCACTTCCCAAATCAAGAGAAGAGATTGGGTGAGAAGAATAGACAAGAAACTCCGCCGCTGTCAAATTGTGATTATTAAACGCAGTTTAAAGTATTATATCTTATTAAGCAGTTTATATATAATTAATCCATCAAAGTATAATCTAGACCAAAGTGGTCTCGTCTAGTTTTTACTGCACAATCAATCAATCTTTACTTTTAATTAATATTATAAGTATCGATATTATCTATGACCCACAATCACCGCCTTGTAGCTTTCTTGCCATTTACCTCTTAAATATTATTAGCGGTTTACATATATACAACCAAAACTATTTTTTTAAATTTTCAATAGAAAATACATGATTTAGGAAATAAATTAATAACTGCATGTTTTTTATATTCTAATATATAAGATTCTCGAGTCACAATATTCGTTCCCATACTCCTCCGAAACGGCTCGACCGATTCTTATGATTTTTTTATGCATATTTAGTAAGTCTGAGAATCGGCTACTATCTTTCAAACCTCTAAGTGATAAAGTGTCCATCCCAATTTTTTTTTTGTTTTTATTTTTTATGATACAACATACAAAAATACATACAACCCCTAATTTTAACCCCTCTACTATCAATCCCTATTTTTATTATTGTAGATAGTTATTTTTATTGAACTAAAAAAAATCCTAGAAATAATATACATGGCAAAACAAACGTTTGCCGGGTCAGCTAGTATTTCATAATTTTTTGACATTTGCCAACATATACTTAAGTTATGATTTTGTCTTCAGGTGAAAGACCATACAAATGCCACCTGCCAGACTGTGGCCGCGCCTTCATCCAGCTATCAAATCTTCAACAGCACCTTAGGAATCACGATGCCCAAGTGGAAAGAGCCAAAAATAGGCCGTTCCATTGTAATATCTGCGGAAAAGGGTTCGCTACGGAAAGTAGCCTCCGAACGCATACAGCCAAGGTAAGTCTAGTTAAAATTAAACTTGATTAATCTACAAAATAATAATTTTTAATTATAATAAGGATTTTCCTGTTATAAAATAAAAAAAACGTGTGTGTACTTATGTACAACCGTTGGAAGTTGTCCTTCTTTGGCGTAACAAGATAAAAATCTACGTTTGTGGAAAAAACGACACCAACAATAGAAAAAACTAAAATGTTGACTATAGCTAACTTCAGGGTGTCGGTTTTTCGTGACGGTGTGCGCGCACATCGTAAAAATTTACTCTCATCATTTTTCCCTAACGCACCAAAAGAACTTCAAAAATACTCAAAATTTCAGAGGACATATTGTTCAAACAGAGAAATACGTCAAACCAACAATCTTTCTGGGATTTTGCCCACAGGCAATGAAATTTTGTAACATTTATGATATAATCCTTGGTATAAACCAGTCGTTAATGACAGTTTGGACAATTTTTGGCTACTTTTTAGGATATATTTAACTAAACAAAGTCGCGAGCATCGGCTAGTGATATTTATAGTTTGATTTCTATTATTTCAAGACCTTTATTCATGTATACGTAAATTAGACGACAGAGTACAACGATTGGAACACGTTTATATAAATTTAAGAATTTAATATTATTTATAAGAATTTATATAATAAATTCCAGTGTTTATCATAAAATATAAATTACAATGTATTTGTACAATTGTTAGGCATATGCTTAACTAGTTTTAGCTAATATCGTTTTTATTTAAATTATTTTCTTTCAACGTTATCATGATTGGTTATTTTATTTTCACAAAATTCTCGTTCTAAATACAAAATTCCCTTTGGCAGTTATCTTTAATTTATGCATTATTATAATTTCAAAATTCAATTTCGACTGTATTTATTTGTTATTACGATGTTGCTAATCTTTCCACTATGCCCACGCCATCCCGGTGGAACAGGAGCTTCAGCTGCACCTTGGTGTTTTGCAGCAACATGCGGCGCTCATGATAGGAGGCGCTACAGCCACCCCATGCCCCATATGCCAAAAAGTGGTATTCGGGGGTGAAGCCCTAGTAGAACACATGAAGAACACACACAAGGACCCCAACGCAAGCGGCGTTGCCAGTAAGTTTCTGGACGCCATTTTTATTCCGCGCCAGAAGGAATGTCATTTATGACCATAGATTACATTTCTTGTTAATTAAGTTAGAATAAGCGATCTCTTTCGTCGAGTGAATGACCATAAAACTTGAATTTAGAAGCGAATGTCAATTTTTAGAATTTGAATTTAGAATGTTTAACTTCGCTCCCACGGAAGAGATTTATTAGCTTGTAAGTTGAGCCGCTGGAAGTTTGTTAAATCGCTATCTATTCTTTTACTGTCTTGAATAAAATATATGGTTACCGTTTTACAATGATACGAAAAAGCTTCCAACTGGCACAAAGCCATGAGGGGTGTTTGGTTAAAAATCACACCAGAAACGTATCGTTCCCATAGATTATTAGTTTTAGTATAAGAGGCACGCCATTTGTAGCATCTCTGTTATTGTTTCGTCTTTATTAGAGGGGTTGGATGTTTTGCAAACATTTCTTGTTTTAGACGATTCTTCGGATGGCGTACCGTTCGTTGTCATAACATGTTTTGTTTATCTTATAGCTGAAGATTTCAACATTCTTCGTCGATTGTTTTATTGTTTATTTATTAGAGTAAGTTTGACGGTTGCGTTTCCCTAAAGCTTTGAATCAACAATTAAACTATATATAAAGAAAGTCACTTAAGTTTTACGAACCGCAGTCGTCCCGGCAAATGGTTTAACATGGAGACTAACTGGTTTGTTTTCTTTTTCTCCCTCCTAACCCACTAACCTCTCCTGTCCTGGTGTTATGGTAGGCCCACCTGCCACATCACCGTACCCAGCGCAAGCTAAACCTATTGATCCTTATGTAGCGAAGCGGCGGACTGCAAACCATCCGTGTCCCGTGTGTGGAAAACATTACGTCAATGAAGGGTCGTTGCGGAAGCACCTCGCCTGTCACCCGGAAACACAATTGACTAGTGGTCTTCGAATGTGGCCCTGTTCTGTTTGTCAGGCCGTATTCACCCATGAAAGTGGTAAGTTTAGATTTTTGATATCGCCATTATAGAGGTTTGGCTATAGCCTGCTGGATTGACAGTGATACATTTTAACGAGAAGCAAACAAAATGTAGAAAGCTCACCGTCGCATCCGCCCCGGAGTAAATCACTTGTAAATAAAATAAAAATCCCGAATAACAATATATTTAATTTTTTATTTAATCATACCTAATTGATATCACTTTACAATATTCTTAAGTCCCAATTAATAACCAATCTATCTAATAAAATACTTAATTCAAAATTTTCCATTGCATCATTAAATATATCTACTTGTGCTTTGGTTTTATCAAATAAAATAGCATACAACTGATAAGATGTTTACATTACATGGAAAAATAATTAAATAACTTACATCGTACAAAATACGCGATAAATAAAATAGATAATAAACCTAGATTGACAAAGTCCATCAAATAGATTGTTATGACATCATCCTTTAGGAAAGATTAGTTTCTAAGTACACATATTCATTGCAAACACAAAAAATTTCAGGTCTCCTCTCCCACATGGAGCATATGAGAATGGAACCGAAACACCAGTTTGCCGCTCAGTACGTGCTTTCAAGGGCCGCAGCCGAACGGCGAGAAAGAGACATCCTAGCGGCCGTATCAGCATCGGCAGGTGCTTCGGGCTTACTTAATTTGGCACCACCATCACCAGCCCATTCAGACTCATCATCAAATGGCCGACTATCTTCTTCCGCTGGCTCCGAAGCCGGTGCGGCTGTGAACAAACTATCAGATCTTCTACGGTCAAACAACGGCCATCAGGCGTATGGTGATGAGAGAGTAGCTGCAATAGCAGCAGCCGCAGCAAATATGATGGCACAGCCCGGTGAAGGGTCTAATGCTGTTCAAGTTGCTGCAGCTAATTTGGTAACAGCAATGCGACAGCAATTGGCAAGAGAACCGCCAGCTCAAACGCCAGAACCCCCACCCGCACCGACTGAAGCCGCATTACGTATACAACAGGCTGAAGCATTGCTTCGATCGCAAGCTGAAGCACTAAGACTGGCTGTGACTCAGGCCGCTGCAGGCCATAACAATGAGAACCCTAGTCCTTTAAGACATAATGGAGGGTTTCCTCAACCAAACGAAGTTAGTGGACAGCTTTCCCCTGAATTGGTAGAAGCGTTCCGAATCGCGCGAGAACAAAGATTTGAACAAGCCTTACGATTACATGATCCGAGGATGTTAGGCTTCAATTTACCGTCTCCAGTCCAAGCTGCTCAGCAAGCTGCGCAGGCTGCACAAGCCGCTCAAGTCGCCCAGGCGGCCCAAGCGGCACAAGTCGCTCAAGCGGCCCAAGCAGCTCAGGCGGCTCAGGCAGCACAACAAGCAGTCCAACAACATCACATGCAAGCCCAAGCCGTTCAAGCGGCACACGCCGCACAAGCAGCACAACAAGCCGCGCAGCAAGCTGTCCACCTGCAACAAAACCCTCAACCGTGAAATTTCAGCTATTACTAATCCGATGCGATTTCTCGTCGCTAAAATAAGTAATTTAATGGAAAATTTTAAGATTTTTCGTATATTTTTGAACGGTTTTTTTGGACGGAGCGTGAAATCGCCTCTGGTTGGTGATTCGTTTTTTGCAATTGATTATTAATTGTTTTTGGGTGCAAAATTATCTAACTATAAATTAGTTGAGTAAAATTGAAACAGTGATTAATATTAAATAAATTTAGATAGACTACTGGTGTATATAGAGAATGTTTAAAGGATTATTGTGTACATATAAAGTAAATGTACCTAAATAAAAAGTATGAACAAAATGGAACAAAAACTCGCCCAAACAAGTAATTAGATGTAGAGGATAAATGACGAAATCAGTGCAATTCAAAATTTATTTATTGGTTAATGTTGTTTATTTTAATAGTATATTTTATTTTAGCTTTATTGCTTAGCTGATTAGGTACAAAGGTTATGTGCCAAAACAGAGCACGTTCTTTCGCATTTAGCGAGTCGCAATATCCGTTGCAATATTTCCATCTATTTCTAGTTTCAAATATTAATCTAATTTTTTATTTCATATTTTCGCAATAACACATCTTATGCTAGTCAAGAATTATCGCACAATATTGTTTTCAAAATTGTTTTTCTTAAATCTTTTATCAATTGCTAAGAGTTAATTTTATTTTTTAATGCCATATTAGATTAATTGTAAATATATATGCATAATGTTGATGCTTCTGTTTATAATCTAAAAGAATACTTTATTTTATATTAATTATTATTTTAATGTAACCTTTATTTACACTTTAATTTGTATAGATGTACATATGAATTATGTTTTACAAGACTGCCGTATTTTTCTTTATTTCGGAGTTGAAAAATAGTAATTTTCCACTGAGGTGAGTCTACAGGACGTACACAATATATGGAATATGTTAACACTACTTTGACAAGTCTTGACATGAGACATCCTTCCACGGATACAGATTAAGCCCGAACATACACTTTTATTTTATATATTCATATTTTTAAATAAACAATAGCCCACACGATCTTTACAGATCACCGAAGCATTTTGCTTTCAGCAGCTTTCCAGTTGCTACAATAGATTTATAGTTTACAACGAAATTCCAAAATCATTCCGTTTTGGGAGATATCCGAAATGGCAATGAGTTTGGAATTTACAACAAGAATGTCAAGTGTTGCCGAATATTCTTTTAATATTATCATCATGTATTATAATTAAGGGCGTTTGTATAATTATACATACGACTGTACGTATTTACAATTATACATCGTATTATTCTACTTATAATCGTACTAGGTAAGGTAAGTAAACTGATTTAATGTACGTAATTATTTCATTCTTGAATTAATATTGGTATAAGGCAGTGATTACATAATTAATGTGAATTAATGTGTAATTCAAACTGTCACTGTATCAATGTAAAAATGAAAAACAATGCAATAGCCCAAATCGTTTCTTGTTTATATGGTGAATTTTGGTTATTAACTATTTGATTTAATAACTGATTTTCAATTATGTATTTCATTTAGATACACAAAACTTTTCGGCGAATTATACTTTTCATTTGGAGTGTTAAGGACATGTATAAGAGCAGGATATCCGACGATGAATCAAATAGGAAACGTTATACAAATAATACATTGAAAATTTTCGACTGACTTATCCGTTAACGAACGGATCGCTATTTATGTAAAAAAAATCCTCAATAAATTTTAATATATTAATAAATTTAATATAACAACAAAAGAAGTTCCTATGAATATTGTATAAATTGTATTGTTTTAAATTTAGATCTTAGTAGAAGGAAAAATTTATGGACGTTTGGTATTTTTAAAGTTATAATTAAACATGCATTAGTACTCACGAGTGTGAGTTGTACAAAACTAATGAAGCACGGATCAGGAATCCTAAATTAGATATTTAGAGCAAGTTACGTTTCCAGAAAAGTGTTCAAATCTAAAACTTTGAGCTTGCGTCTTTGCCGAACGATATTTGTAAAAAATAATATATTTTCGAAATACACAAATTTTTAAAGATTTTTTTAGACGGCAAAAATACAATAACTATAGATAAAGACAAGGACGCCGGCTCAAATATAATTTCTGTGATCATCGAAACGGAATAGTTATTATAACAGATCATGTCTAACGAGTTATGTTTAAGTTTTTGACAATTAAATTTTTTAATGTTGAAAAAAAAATTGTGAAAAATGTGAAATTTTTTCTACATTTATTTTACGATAAAATTCCATAGTTAAGCTGTACAATAAATAAGCCTAATTACAGTATATCGCGATCAATATCGCTTGCTGTCAAGAGAATGGAAAAATGCGATTCCATTTCCGAATTCGCATTTTTCCCTTCCTTTGAATTAGTTACAATAGTACTGGATTATGTTGATACAAAATATGGAAGATAGTATTTCCGTATTGTTTTTACAAATGCGCTGTTGGTTCGTTTTTATTGAGAAATGGTCGCGACATTTTTAGTTTAATTGGCTTAATACGATTAATATTTTTACATTTTGTTACTAGACTTTAAGACGTTATATTTTCATAAAACTGCTTTAAAATCGACATTTCGACAATTAATACAAATTAAAATCTCACGGAAAATGAAGCAGTTCTGTTGTCTCATATGAAGAATAACTTAACCGTCTGTTATGAGTAAAGATCAAAACTATATTTAAAAAGAACAATTGTGTAGAATCTCAACTCGATCACAGCTAAAAGTTTAGGTAACGCCGTATAATGATTTTATAATATACAATTAATTAAGCAATGAATTTCAAAGAATTTGTATTAAAGTTATATTTCAATCATAACAGACAACTCGCGTCCAACTTGCGATTACATTACATTTTTTATTTTAATGTTGTTTAATGTTGTTAAACGTGTTGCATTGTTTCCGTTAAGAACAAAATGCAACGCTAAAACAATGTTTTTGTTAAGTTTTTAAATCATAAATTGCTGTTGATTTTATTAATCATCCTTATTGACTGTTATCGTTTTGATTTACGCTTTGTAGTTTCTGTTTGTCTCTTATTTTTAAATATTTAGCCAAATATACAAGTATTTGTAAGTTAAGTGTAGACAGGATAACCAGGTTTTCAATTCATAACACATAGTAGTTAATACATATATTCTTATGCTTAAGATAGTAATAAATGTAATGTGATTGTGGGCCCGTTTATAAAACACGACAGTATTTTATAAACGGGCCCATTAGTATGTGGAGTATAAATAACTCCGCGTTGAGTAGTGACAACGAAATAAAAAAAAACAAAAAAAAAGTAATTAAATGTAATAGGTATCGGTGTTTTATGGGCTATGACCCTTTAGTGTTGCGATCATTTTGAGATAAAAATATTTTCGAACCAAGCTGTGATTCCGTCAATATAACGTTGGTATTGTGAATGTTTATTTTGATCTTTTGGCGAAATTTTTGAAATGTCAAAACACATCCAACAGCGCATTATTTCTCTACAACGTTGCGACTAGCCGCTAAACTCAATAATGTCACACGGGCATTTGCGTTGAATTTTGAAAAGGAAAATTGTCAAGTGTTTTTGCTATCCCAATCGGTGTGTTCTAGTCCTTGTTTTTTATTTCTAAATGTCGTGAGTATACAAAATTTAAACACTTTTTGGCGTGTAAGAATGGAAACGTTTGTAAAAATTCAAAATTATTGTACCTATTAAAGTAATTCGGCTATGTATTTAGGCGTTAGTTTAGATGTCAAAATCACGTTTGGCTATTAAATAAATTGTGTATAAATTAGGAAGTGACGTGTTACCTTGATGTTTAGGTATAATGATACCAGTTTCGAAAAATCTACCATTTTGTAGGGAAAATTGCACGACTCTTCTTTTGTTTAGTTTTTATTCTTGTATAGAGTTATTTATAATATTTGTGTTAAATACGATGCCATGTTTAACTAATAATTACTTTAAGCTCCGATGTGTTTTTTTAAATATTATATTTTTTATAGAAGTTATTATTTTCTTCGACTCATAGTCATACTGTAAAGTTAAGTTTTAGTGTTATAACGTTAATAATTTTTAAATTAAACTTTCGAACAATATTAACCCATTAATTTAATATTATTTTAACAACGTGGAATGCTTAATGTGTCATTAAACCGAGAATAGTAACTATTATTGCCGAAACGGTTAGCTATAATTATTTTAAAAAATAAAAACATGATTCATATTATTGTGTTTATTTTTTCCCAATCACGTCACGCTAAAATACAATACAGTCAGAAACAAATTGAAAAAAGAAATGATTTAGTGACTGCTTTATGAAACTATACAAAACAGCCTTTTTTTGTTATCGTTACACTAATATAATTAATTCAATATTTCCATAAAAGTATTTATTTTATTCTTAATAATAAAAACATAATATATACAACATATCTGCATAATAAGCAACCATTCTATCTGTAGGATTACCTACTAAATACAAAACCTACTATTAAAATACGAAATAATTCAGCTTTTTTTGCTTTTTTTTATTAAGTTAAATTATTAGCACAAATCAGCAAGACCATGGTTTTTATACACACTATATACTGTCTATATGTAAAAATCTCATTTGCAATGAAAAAGTCTTGAATTTTCTTAGATAACTATTTAAATTATATAAACGTTAAATACACATATATAAGCGACATCTATTAAGTAATTATTGTACTTTGTGGACATACACATTCTACTCTTAAAGCTACTCTAAGCTACCACCCAAATTCAGTAAATGTTATTATAAATTAAACATATATTTATTGATTTTTTTAATTATAAAATCATTACTTTCAAATCTACCTTTAATATATATATATATATATATAGAAAAACATATATTTAAATATTTTGTTCAGCGCCATCTGCTGCCTACTGAACAAACTAATGAATAACTTACAAAATAAACAATGTAGTAACCTTTCTATTAATTACTAGATGGCGCTTT